CTGCAGGATCGCCATTGGCTTCTATTCTGAGCCATATCTGATAACGTCTCTAGCCACTGTATTGCGCCATCTCTAGGACCCTGACCAGGGAGTCGTGAAGGACCAACACAAGCCATCCCTTTGGAGCTTTCTTTCATACCACGACACCATGTCATACACTGACCACCTCTCCGCTTTTTCCAATCAATCCCAGCGTCGGCAAATAACGCACGACATGGAATTCCCTGGGACGACATTCGTAGAACGTGTCCAAGCCACCGAAGTCAGTGTTTCAAGATAGTGACACCAATTGCATTATCACCTCTGTGCCCGAACACACGATCCCGAACCTCTGCATTACTAGCATGGTGTTGCCATCGGATGTCAGCAATCCTTCGGAGAAAACGATAATCGAACACAGAGAGTCGTCTAACATCCTCAAATCGGAGAGACCAGGTTTCACAAGCATAGAGCAGAAGTGCTCTCACCGACGCCTTGTAGATCCGACCTTTTACAGCCAGACTGACATCACAAAGGCGCCAAAGGTGGCTCAGATTGGCATAAGCAGCTCTGGCTTTCACTATTCGTGCATTAATCTCATCACTCACACCCCCACCAGCACTTATGCAGCTACCCAGATACACGAACTTCTCGACTACGTCTATCTGCTCACCATCCAGGATGAGTACAGGATTGGAATCCTGCCAGTCTTGTAGATGTACTTTGCACTTCGAAGGTGCAAAGCACATAACATACCTACGGACACTGATTGCCAACTGATTAAGTGCAGATTGCATACCTTGGGCATTATCGCACAGTAAGACGATATCGTCCGCATACTCAAGGTCGAGAAGTCTTTCTCCAGGCAACAGATCCACACCAGCATTACTTACATTCATCAGAGCTGTTTCCAGAATGTCATCGATGGCAAAGTTGAAGAGGAACGGTGAGATTGGGCAACCCTGTCTAACCTCACTGCTCGAATGGAACAATGGAGAGAGGTGGTTGTATGCCCTCACTCTGCCTGAGGTTACCAAAGTTTATTATTTATTTAATTGAACACATAAATAATGTCCAACGAATCGAAGGCAGCCCTAACGTCAAGAAACACTACGATTGTTGGCCTTTGATAAATATGACGGTGTTCTAACATTTGGCGGAGGGTGGAGATATGATCAATACATCCTCGACCAGAACAAAACCCAGCCTGCTCCTCGCGAGTCAATTTTTCTCAGGGTTTTGAACAACCTACGAAATATGACGGAACCCAATAGCTTGAATGCAATCGAAAGTAGACCTGTCCCCCGATAGTTGTTACAGGAAGAACGTGAACCCTTTTTAAAGATAGGGACAACTATCGACTCATTCCATGACGTTGGCACACTCTCTAGTTCCCAGACCTTTGTAAACAACGTCGTCAGTTCCTTAGCCAGAAAAACACCATCTTTAAAAAGGGCCGGAGGTAAGTCGTCTGGGCCCGGCGATTCGCAGCGTTTTGGGGGCTGGAGTTCCTTGAGGACTTCCGCCTAATTTAGTGGATCAGTCGTCACCGGCCATGGAGGGCAGGACAGTCTGGTCGGTGTTGCCGGAGCAGCAGCTCAGTTGAACTGCCCTTCGAATAATTCTTCCCATCGTCCAAGACGTCGATGGATATTAGTGATTGACATCCCGTTATCCTCACAGATTGTTTCGCTCACAACAGATTTCTTTCTGCCAGTGGCTCGGATGAGTTGGAAGTGCTCTCGGTAGTTGCCAGATGCAGCTGCTGCTTCCAGCTAATTGGCACGCTCCGATCACCAGGCTTCTCGGTCCTTACGCAAGCTTTGCCCGATTTCATTGCGTAGCATTCTTCGTTTGTGGTCAAACTCACGGTCACCAGGAGCAGACCGACGGGCTTCGATGACTTGTAAGGAGCCTGAAGAAACCCAGTGCTTATAAGCGTGACGTTTCGCGAAGCCGCAAGGGGCTTTATTCGCCATTTTGATGGCGTCATGAAGTTGCAACCAATGCTCATCTATACTTTTCGGTAGAGTGGTAGCTAGCCTAGAAGCTAGCTCGGTTCGATACTTACTTGCAACAGAAGTTGCAACCAACTTGCTGACATCAATCCTTTGGTAGCCGTCACTTCGTTGGCCACTGAAAAGCAAGGTACGATTGGCGCAGACCAGGGCACGATCAGAGTCCAGATAGGTACTCTAAAAGAAGCGGCAGTCTTGTACACAACCACGCCAGCGGTAGCTGATCGCGATGTGATCAATCTGAGTCCAGGCTTCAGATGCAGAGGGAGGACACCAGGTGACACATTGGCGATGACCGTGCCAGAAGTTAGTGCTAGCCAGAAACAAGTTGTGGTCTGTGCGCAGTTGCAGTAGACGGTCTCCATTATCTGTCCTGCGACCAACAAGTTCCCATCGACCACCTGAACGACTCTCTTCTGTGCCTAGACGCCCGACCTGAGCATTCAAGTCTCCGGCTAGTACTACAATATCTGTCGAACGCACTTTCTGGAGAATAACAGTTAACTGGTGGTAGAATTTATCTTTGATTGCATCCGGGCTGCCATCCGTCGGAGCATAGGCGGAGATGACGAAAAGACATGGTTTCTCACGCCAATTTCTTCTCACTTTGATGGAACTTTCTAATCTAACGGCACATAACCGACTGTTAATGGGGATCCAATCGATTAGTGCTGCCTCAGCTCTAGCGCTTAGTGCGACACCAACGCCAGCAAGACCAGACGAAGTTGTCACAGGGCCCCCGGATAAACGCACGTAAAACAAGCTTTTTGAAGCGACAGAGGGAGAGCGAATTTGTAGTACTTCACTTGAGTCTTGAATACGGGTCTCAGATAGACAACAAATATCGATATTAAGACTTCCATAAATGAGACTACTTGGTGTACACTACGCCATGATGAAATCATTACTTCTATAGAATAACATGTCCTAGATATTTAATTATCGCAGAGTACCCTGTGTAGCGGTAAATAATTCCCCAAAATAAATAGATTTGTAAGTCTTCGACATTGGATGCTCACCACATTAATTTTAATAGACTCACCTAGCTGAAGTTGCTCGTTCATGCATCCGCACCGTAATCAAAATCCCCTGCAATAGCTAGCCAGATTAGATCAGTCGATCCACGATATATTGATAGCCGATCAAATATATCTTTGAACCTCCTCGCTTCCGTCTTTTGATTTCACATGGTGAGTACGATTCATATTTCAAGGTGTTACAGGTTATAGCATTGTCAAATTCCATGAACCTGTTGCATCTTCACCTGTAAACCTTGTAGTGTGGTGTCGAATCGCGTTGACTATGATCACCACTACAGGGAGACTACGTGCCAGTTAATCGATAAGATCCCTCGTAGGCCAAATATCAGAAGGCGATTGACGGCTGTAGTCGAGATGTATTTTTTGGCGATCTCGTGGTATCTAAAGAATACCGAGATTGTGCCAAGTGACAAGTGTGGTTACTGAGTGTAACCGAATTCGTGCAAGATCACGATCAACAGAAGGAAGAATGTCTTTAGTACGGTTAAACAAACAAGTACAGTAAAACAATCACTGGTACAATTTGTTATAATAATAATTGTTTCCATTAAACCAATCGCATTCTCTTGTTAAAAGTAGTGTACTACAACCTTCTGGAGTTACTGCCGTCACAAGCCCGTATAAACCAGGAGGATCAAAGCATTATGTCCTAGGGGCAGAACTAACGCTCTTAGACTGGATCCCAGTGGACAGTTGCTTGCGTGCTGTCCAACTAAATGGAACACTAAGGACTCGGAAAGATAAGGACACTCGTTGTTGCCTTTCCATCCTCTCTGTCTACTCTCCCACTGACTCCAGCTCAAATTAGGTGAGAGATGAGTTTTACAGAAAGTTTTCTGACCTTTAAAACGTTAGGTGCCCTGATGTAGTAATGGTGGTTGGTGACTTCAATGTACACTCAGATAAATTAATCGAAAATCAAGGACAGCTGAGTGGATCTTATGGTGTCGTGGCTCAAAGAACAGATAATCGCGATCGTCTAATGCAGCTATGATCAGATAACCGCCTGTTCCTTGCAAATACTAACTTTAAGCATAAGGAAAAACATATTTTGACATGGCGACCCCCGAATTCGTCCCAAAGTTGGACCCAAATAGATCACATTGCTGTCAGCCATCGATGGAGAGGCTCAACAGAAGACTGACGCTTGTTGTGGAGCACATGCTTGGATTCACATGATGCTCTAGTGCGAGCGCGTATTTGTCTGCGTCTCACTGGACGTAGGTAAGACGATTCAAAGAAACCTCTTAGGGTTCTACTCAATGATAGCTAAGCTAAGAATATATTTCAGGAACAACTAGAAAACACGGTTAGGCAGCCATGTAAGTGATGTCCACCCCGAGGCAGCATGGAATGATATCCGAAAAGCTGTGGAAACAGCAGTGATATCTGCTAGGACAGTAAACCATAAGGTTAGGGAAAAATACTGGGTCTGAGCGGCATCCACCGCAGTGATAGATGCTCGAAAACTCATCCCATCTGGCTCTAAACATGACAAAGAGCGGAGTCAGCTTAAGCGCAGGCTGATAAGGAGCCTACGCAATGATCGTGAACAGTGGTGGGTAGCGAAAGCAAGAGAGACGGAAAAGGCAGAGGCAATAGGTAATAGCAGACAATTGTTCAGACTTGTTAAGGAAACCGATATTAGGAAACCGACTGTTAGCGAAATTATTTCAAAAAAAGAAGGACATATTGTTCATTCTCAATTCAGGAGATTGGATGGATGGGCAGAACACTTTAGGGATCAGTTCAACTGGCCTTCAACCACACTTCGGTTTCCCACGATCTCCAGTCGACCTGAATGACCAGTTGATGTAAGTCCTCCAACTCTTGACAAGGTCCAAAAAGCTATAGGAAATCTGAAGCGTGGGAGAGCAACAGGTTCTGACAGGTTTACCCTTGAGATTTTTAAGGATGGCAGTCCAGTACTAGCAGCGAGATTGACTGAGGTCTTAGGCAGAATCTGGGAACTGGATGTAATCCCATCTGACTGGTCTCAACCACTGATTGTGCCAGTCTATAAGAAAGGGCAAAAGTCCTCTTGTTACAATCACAGAGGAATCAGTTTGACTAATATAGTGTCTAAAACATTAGTTTCAATAATGTGTCGACGCCTAACTAAAGCTCTTGAAGAGCAGAACTAGAGAAAACCAGACTGGTTTTCGACCTGGATGTGGCTGTGTGAACCAGATATTCACACTACGTCAGGTCCTAGAACATAGACACACATTCAGACGTCCCACAATAATAGTACTTTTCGACCTTAAGGCGGCATTTGACTCTGTTGATAGTGAGGATATATGGCAGTGTTTGTCACTGAAAGGAGTACCAAGGAAATACATTAACCTTATACAGGCTCTCTCTCTCCCTACACAACTGGTCGAGTCAGAGCTTATGGCGAACTGTCATCAGAATTGATTACCTCGAGTGTTCTTCAGGGCTGTCAACTCTCTTCATTTTTGCTTAACTTTGTTGTTGACGTGCTTTTAGAGATAATGCTTTCTTCATCTAAATTTCCAGGGGATAAACTTTTACCGGGCGATTCACTTGTTGACTTAGAGTATGCCAATGATAGAGTTCTATTTGGTGAAGACGCTGACAAAATGCAGTCTTCTGACCACCGTAAGCAACAATGCAAGCATGTTCTGAAGGCGATTCTCCCCCTCGAAATGCAACATGTCACTTCAGGGTTGAGTTGCATCGGCACCTGAACTAATGATGGGGAGTGATGGAGTTGAGTGTATCGACCGCTTCACTTATCTTCGGAGTCTCGTCAGCCCTTGTGGTCTAGTGTGTGACGAAACGTCAGCACGGATACAGAAGGCTTGACTGGCTTTCTCCAACTTGCGTCATTTATTGCGTAGGCGAGATATCCGTCTATCAACCAAAGGACGGGTTTACTGCGCAGCAGTTCGTTCCGGCCTACTTTATGGCAGTGAAACATGGCCGGTTAGAGTAGAGGATATTGGTAGGTTACTAGTATTCGATCATGGATGTCTTCAAAGCATTGCTCATATATCCTGGGACCACCAAGTAAGTAATGTAGTTGTTAGGAAACGGATGCTAGGTAGGGACGGCAAATCAATTGAAGTAGTGAAACTTCATCAGTTGAGATGGCTGAGACATGTGTTATGTATACACAACCACCGACTGCCCGAACGAGCGATGTTTTATGGTGTACGAGTAGGTTGGAAGAAAGCTAGGGGTGGCCAGACCGAAACATGGTACAAATCCATGAGGTCATTGGCAAGTGGACTGAGCAGTGTCTGTAGGTGTAGACTACCTGGTTGGGATCCGCGAGATGATAGCAACCAACGGTCAGAGACCTTGAATGAAATGACTCAAAATCGTTTGCAAAGTTGCAGGTGCATCCACTTTTATGTTCTCGCAAATTCTAATTGTCTGATTTTTTCATCTCCCTTCCTTTTTTCTCTTTCCAATTTTTTTCACTGGGTCATACTCATTGAACAACATTTTCAAACCCTAATCTATCCGATTACTGCTTATACTTTTACCACCTCTACCACCATGTGATTTGAATAGACAATTGTACCTCTGTGCTAATGTGGTATGGCAACTTAAATTGACGTATGTACTTACGGAGTTCTATGGTGTTATTGACTGACTGGCTGACCTTGATTTCTGATTTCTAATTTGACTGGATTGGCATACTTCAATTGGGACGGTGTCATGTGTAAAGGCGTTGTCAAACTCTGAATATCTGTGGCATCTTTACTAGTTTGGGAGCGTTCAATAATGAATATCTACAGCCTTAACGGCAACTCAAGCCAAGACCTTTATGCCTCGTACCAAGTACTAAATATGTGACCAGAGTTTCAGCTTCAATCAATTTGAAGAAAGTAAAAACTAATTAGGCTCAAGCACCAAGTTGGATAAACTGAGATTTAAACCACACCTACGTCTTAGGGCTCTTGATGAGTACAGGACAACGGTATAACAAACTTTTACAAATTTCTAGTTTCATTGTTTCCTTGATTCTACTTATCAGGAACGAAAATTGCTTTTTAAAGTGAATTCCTCGTCCATAAATTACATGACTGGAAAAGCTTAGTAATAATAAATTGACTGACTTACGCTTCAACCTCTCTTTCTCTGAAGTACCATTCAAGATTTTCTAAACCTTCCAAAATTTTACGTCGTTTGGCAATTTGTACCAGATTATTTGCAATATCTTTATACGGCGGTAAATTTGCTTCAATTTCTCGTCTTTGTCTTGCACGTTCAATTCTTTCAACATCAAATAATCCGACTGGAAGTCCATATCCATAACTCAACGAAGTTAATTTCAGTGTCTCAAGGTTTTCCCCTGTATTGACAACATACAATGGAGAATATGGGTCAGTTTGCGCCTCTGAATCACGATACATTGTCTGCACATAACGTGATATATAGACAGGTCGTTTCGGCCTTAGATCTATTTGGGTGATATTTTCATTTCCTACTAAAGAGTCCAACGTAATATCCATAATTTTCGGATTTCCTGAAGGCTGATATATGAAAAAATTGCATTGTGATAAATATTACTGAAATCTCATCAAAACAAATAAATAAATCTTAACCACCAATCCTTGAATATTTGCTTTCCCCGTTTGGATGTCATACGAGTACTGTTTTGGGTGTCAGTAAACAGCGAAGCTACATTTATTTGACCAATTATTACACTCGATGTAATACTGACTAGAGTCCGTAACTGCTTAAATGGCTTAGTTAGGGCGCTTAAGTGAAAAAATTTCCCATTTTGCTGAGAACTATTTATATGTATTGAGATTTAGATGGTGGTTGGAGGTAGTCAACAGGAAACCCTGGACCGGGGTTTCGTGCTACTTGGCACTCGTCAGCAAGGTGTACCTGTAATCTTGAGGGAACTGATGCTCCCTGGCGGATTCGATCTCGTGCCCCCCAGCTTCACAGTCAGAGACGTTCCCACTGAGCTATCCGAGCCGTGACTAACCTCCTGTAGGACTGAGATGTAATGACAATTGATTGATCACTGGGTGGTGATCAATCTCATGCTTGTCTAGTCCTTATTAGTGCAGATCGAATGCTATCGATCATGTTGCAATGTGGCCACCAGTCTAGGTGACTCGGCACTGCGGGCACTATGTATTGAGATTAGATGGTGGTTGGAGGTAGTCAACAGGAAACCCTGGACCCGGGTTTCGTGCTACTTGGCACTCGTCAGCAAGGTGTACCTGCAATCTTGAGGGAACTGATGCTCCCTGGCGGATTCGATCTCGTGTCACCCAGCTTCACATTCAGAGACGTTACCACTGAGCTATCCGAGCCGTGACTAACCTCCTGTAGGACTGAGATGTAATGACAATTGATTGATCACTGGGGTGGTGATCAATGTCATGCTTGTCTAGTCCTTATTAGTTCAGATTGATAGCATGACATTGATCACCACCCAGTGATCAATCAATTGTGACTATTTACATGTTGCAAAGATGCTTACAACACATTATTATTAAACCACGGACAAGATTCAAGAAATGAAAAACAAAAAGACAGCAGTTAACATCAGCCGGAAAAGAGCGGTGAAAATCAAGGCACAAGCTTGATACACAGAAGCAAATTTATTCCACTGGATTATACTCCTTGAACAACATTTTCAAACCCTAATCTATCCGATTACTGCTTATACTCTTACCACCTCTACCACCATGTGATTTGAATAGACAATTGTACCTCTGTGGTAATGTGGTACAGCAACTTACACCGATAAACCTGCGTACGAATGTGTCCGTTTTTATTTACAGAATGATGGACTGTGGTTTGGTTTGCTTGTGTGTACCAAGTATGTCTGATTTATTTTATTGACACAGGATAAGCTGATATTAGTTTTCTGGACTTAGCATCCGGGACTAGGCAAGAAGGACTCAAAAGTGCACTAGGTTTCTTGTACCAGTAAACACTTCAGCGGTTTGGCACAGTGCTAAGATTTAATAGGTCGTGCTCTGATTGGTGATCTTATTACGTGATATTCGATGGGCCACGAGTCACATCAATTGTCGACGGAGATTTCGCAAATAAATGAACGTCATAACAGAGGTCGAAGAGCATAAGCTATTCTCCGTAATGAATACTGGGCGAAGGGAGTGAATCGTTTTATTTGGTTATACGTATATTATTGACTGTATGTCGGATATATTTGTGATCAGCCTATATATTAGGTGGTCCATTAGACTTTGTTTCAGGTTCGTGTGCAAGTTCTAGGAATAGTTCATGATGCTATGTATAGTCTGAAACAAAGTTTATTGGTCTTTTGATCTTGGGGATAGTGTCACAGTTACTGATGTGTATCGGCGGCCTATTCAGTTCAGCTGCCCTCTGATGCATGCGCTCCATGCATTTTGATAGATATACAGAATGTTTAAACCCCTATGCTGGGCGCAGCACTACCTGTCAATACCACAGACCTAGAAATATCCTTGCTTCCCAAATCAAATAAACAGGATAACACCTTATTGCTAAATATGGTAAGGGATTTAGAGTAACGCGACTGCATGTGTAACACTGATGATCCGTACGAATATCTAGTCCAATCGCCATCAAGAAAACAGGTAAGTGCCCATCTAGTCGTCCGATTAACCTCGTTGTATCGCCACTTAAACTAGCCATTCAAGTTACATGTAGTCATATAGGTACAGACAGTATGATGGACCACTATTTAAGTAACCATATCCCGTCCATTGTTTTGTTTATTAATGAACGCTTTTTAAGTAATAAAATGGCAGGACTGAAGGCGACTGCCTTAATTACCAAGCTGGGAATTGTCCTAATAATGGAAACCTGGTGTCCGTTTACAATACCAGATTCAAATGGTCCAAATGGTTGTGGACGGAATAGAAGAAGCTTTCGCTTAACGGGCTCCCGTGTCTAGCAGCAGTCGATCACCAATACCTCCAGCCAGGAACCTAGGTATATCAACGATAATAGAAGAAAAAAGAAATTGGTAAACCATAATACGATGTTATTTTTAGTCCTTAGGAATAGGTCAAGTTTCCTCTCAAATGACTCCTAGGAAGTCGCCTGGATCAGTTCAGTCGGTAGCAAAATCCAGCGTTCGACAACTTTTAAAGAGTAGGAGTTGTGCCTATAGTCCATTCTGCTATTCTGTATCTCCAATTTCCGGGTGTTACCCCTTGGGTTTGTGTTGGAGCTAAACTCACGTAGGTGTTTAAGGGGATATCCCGAAGTATTAAGAACACTGTAAGCCATTACAAAGTCACTTCTAAGATGCCTATACTCTAATGAATAAAGGTTAAGTGTGTAATGACCTACTTTCATCAAGGGAACACGATTGGTTTAATGGAAACAATTATTATTATAACAAATTGTACCAGTGATTGTTTTACTGTACTTGTTTGTTTAACCGTACTAAAGACATTCTTCCTTCTGTTGATCGTGATCTTGCACGAATTCGGTTACACTCAGTAACCACACTTGTCACTTGGCACAATCTCGGTATTCTTTAGATACCACGAGATCGCCAAAAAATACATCTCGACTACAGCCGTCAATCGCCTTCTGATATTTGGCCTACGAGGGATCTTATCGATTAACTGGCACGTAGTCTCCCTGTAGTGGTGATCATAGTCAACGCGATTCGACGCCACACTACAAGTGATTGGAGACGCTGTTCATAAGGTTTGAATTTGAGTCCACGAACTGATTTCGTGTCTCGTCGTCGGATACGCTCCAAAGTGTCCTTATCTTTTTGGAGTGAGGGAGGAAATACTATTTTTCCGTACTCTAAATGTGGACAAATATAGCTGTTGAGGATTATGTGGAAAGTTCTTCAGTCAAACTGGCCAAAAATGCGCCTCAATGTTATCAGTGCAAGGTTTGCTCGAAAGTCATTTCTGTCACAGTTAGAGTAGGACTTTAAATCCTAGGGTATTAGGACTACTAAAATTTGTTCGACTCGTGAAACCACTTAAAAGGGGTTTTTTAAGTTGTAACTGTAGTCTGCAACATGTCGCAGATGAACTACTTTACACTTTGAAGTGTTAAAGGTAAGTCCGTTATCGTCTGTCCAACTTTGAAGTCGAGTCAGATCCTCCTGAAGTGCCAGTATATCCTCTTAGTGGCGTATCTCTCTCCAAAGTTTCACGTCATCGGTAAAAAGTAATAAGTCCGACGACACCTGTTGTGGAAGATCATTTATAAAAATCAAGAAGAGGAGAGGTCATAGTACTGAGCCCTTGAGGACCCCACTAGGACATTCCATAGCCTGAGATAAAGTGAAGTTGACCCTGACCTTAAAGTGTCGATTTTCCAAATATGAAAAGAGCCGATCAATTAGAGGTGGTCAGATAGCCAATCGTTTGAGCTTATTGATAAGACATATATGGTTGACCCTATCAGGAGCTCTTGAGAAATCAAGGTAAATGATATCGACCTTCCCCTTGCGATCAAGGATGCTTGTTCATCTGTCCACCGCAGTTAGCGATTTGGTCGTACAAGGGTAACCGTTCCTGGGGTGAGAAGAAATTTAAGGACAGTAAATCGTCATGTATATCATCGCATATCAGGGATTTCATGATTTTTGAATGCATAGAGATAAGAGCCACCGGTCGGAAACTTGAAGGTTCGCTGCGTCGACTTTTTTTGGAACTTGGTGTGATATGAGCCAGCTTCCGAATTTCCGGTAGTTTGCCTCGGCTTGGCGAGTGTGAAAACATCACGCTAAGCGGCGTTGACAGGATTGAGGCTGCCTCTCTCAGTATGGCAGAATGAACCATATTTGGGCCAGGAGAAGTATCTAGTCTTAAGTGCTGCAATTTTCGGAACACAAAGTCAGCGCTGAGGTTCACTTCCGGAAGTCCCATGCAGTTGCAGATGAAGCTGTCATCAGTATAGTTGATGTGGGTCGGTTAAAATGTCCAAGAGTATTGTTAAGTCGAAAGGTTAGTGGCATCGCCGTCGTTTTTGGTCGGGCCATCAGGACCTAGCAGCTGGGAAACTTCAGTTTCAGCTGGACGAAGGGAGGCTGCATAATGGAATAAGCTTTTCGGATTGTAGACAAATTTTATCCATAAGCTTTATCTGATACTGAAGCCTGTCTTCTCTTATGGCCTTCGTGCATATGTCCCTTATACATTTGTATTGACTGTACGCGCCGTTGCTGTCAGTTCGTTTGTATTCCGCCCAACAGTGCCCTTTGCGGCTGAGCAGGCAAAGAGTGCGGTTCTTGATGATTGTAGGTTGCTTGTAGCTATTGAGGACCGTTTGAGGAACTGACTGCTTTGTAGCTCATAAGAGCTTGTTCAGTAAGAATCCCCAATCAGCAACCACATCAAGTTGATTGTGAACATTCCGAAGATAGTCATGCAGAGCGGACACACTCAATCGTTTGAAATTCCAGAGCCTGTTATTGGTGGGATATCTTAGTTCAGTTTTGCCAGCAAAACTGAAGGCTATGATGGCGTGATCACTCTTTCGCAGGGAAGCCAGGATTGAGAGGTTGTCAACTAGAAAGTCTT